TGACAATACTAAGTTTTGGCAAGAATATTGTGCAACTGGAATGCTGGTGGGAGTGTAAACTCATACAACTTCTTTGGAAAATGATTTGGCAATTTTATATAAACATATAGTTACCATACAACCAAGGACTGCTGGTGGCATAGTGGTTAAGAACTCAGCTGCTAAGCAAAAGGTTGGCATTTCAAACTCACCAGCCACTTCATGGGAGAAAGATGTAGCAGTCTGCTTCTGTAAAAATTACAGCCCTGGAAATACTATGGGGCAGTTCTACTCTGTAATAAAACCAGTAATTCCACTCTTAGGTATTTACGCAAGGGAAGTGCAAACACAGTTCTATCTATAAAAAGACTTGTACATGAATGTTCATAGCAGCTTTATTCATAATAGCCCCCAAATGGAAACAATTCAAATGTCCATCAACATGTGCATAAATAAGCAAATTGTGATATAGTCACATAACAAAATACTGCTGGAAAATAAAAACACTCAAGATTTGACACTCGCAACAACATGAATCTCAACATCAGTACATTGAGAGAAAGAAGCCAGACAAAAAAGAGTACACACTGTATGATTCCATCTACATGAAGTAAAGACAGAAGTAACCTATGGTGATATAGATCAGAACAGTGATTATCTTGAGGGAATTTGACTAGAAGGAATTGAGAGAACTTTCTGGGGCATGGAAATATTTATTTTGATTGAGGTGGTAGTTATATAGGAATACATTTATCAAAATTCATCAAATTATACACTTAAAATAGGTGCATTTTACTAGGTAAATGATACCTAATGAATAAAGAGCATTGGAGAAAAAATAACTGGAAGGACAGTTTCTCAATAAACTGTTGTTGCTTCTGCAGGGAGGGAGAAGGACTGAGAACATTGTTTGAGAGGAGACTTACTTTTTTTGTACATATTTTATATTGTCAGGATTTTATACCCAGCACATATATTTCTTTGACATATTTTACCAGGTACATATATTACTTTCACAAACCTAGACTGAAAACAAACAAACAAAAAAGCTATTTTAAAAACAGATGAAACAGGGGAATGAATCTGAGGTCAGATGCAAAAACAGAGAATAAATCGTATAGCAAAAGCCAGAGGACATTCAAAGCAAAGGAGACCTTGTACTCACAAGACAGAAATAATGCACGCTGAGATTGTCTTTCTGAAGAAATTCTCCTAATTTTTCAGGATCGCCAGGTTCTTGAAGGCATAGCTGACATACTGGAAGAAAGTATGTTAAGAATTAACTCTTGGTTTGACTCAAGTTGACCATTAGAATGGAAGAGTAGAGTGGGAGCATAACCATCTCTCTAAGTACAGGAAGAAACAGAGTGCTGGAAAGAGGTTCATTTTGGTAAGGTATCGAGGTTGGGAGGAGGTGTTACTTGTGAGTTAGAGTTTTATATAATTTTGGTCACACTGAAGGAGTTGGCTGCAACTATTCACTTCATATTTTTTGTCTCAAGCTGGTAGTGTCATGCCTAAGGCACCTGACTGCTAACCAGAAGGCTGGCGGTTCAAACCCAACAGCCACTCCTTGGAAGGAAGGTTGGGCAATCTATCGTAGTGATACTGCCTCAGAAACCCAAAGAGGAGTTGCTATGAAATGGATCTGACTCAAAGGCACATAACAACAACAACAGCTTTATTTCAATTAACTTGTTTCTTGAACTTTGGAGATAAAATTTAAAAAATTATAGACCCCAACTTCTTGAGGATCTTGGAGAATCTGGGAAGGAAATGGGGTTGACAGTGAGAGAAGTTAAGTGTGCTGCCCTACACAAGTGCCCTCTTTGCTGAGGTTGGGAGGCAATGGTTGATCAGAGCCTCCAGTCCTTCTTACCAGGCCCTGAAGATGGCTTCCTCCGGGTTACCCTCTTAGTCTTGGCAGATTTTCTATACAAGAGAAGGGAGATGTACAAGGTAATCTTTGTGGACCTTGTTGACTACCCCCCCCCTTTGTAATATTTCCTTCAAAATGCCATGCATGGGTCTGATGAAGGACCAAAACATCTGAAGGCTATGATATCAGTTTCTTTTCATAGTTCTTATTTTTTGAAAGCACAAAACATTCCCACTAAAGGACCAGATCATAACCATCTCTCAGTCCCCAGTCCCTGTAGTTACTCAATTCCGTTGACTGAATGAAAGAGAAAACCCCCTTTTCCTCTTGTAGTGCTTCTTCTGCCATGTACTCCAAATCTTAGGTTATATCAGCTTCACAAAGCATACTAAAAATAGTTCATCTTGATTGAGTATGCCCTATTCATTAGGCATTTTCCTCAACATTTTACATGTGTTAACTCAGTGAATCTACAAAATAAAAAAGTGGGTTCAATTATTATGCAATTTTCCAGAAATGAAGTAACTTGTTCCAGGTCACATAGTTAGCATGTGTCAGAACAAGGATATGAACATAGGCCATAGGGCTGTGGAACTAGCATTTTGCTAGTAGGGACAGCCCTGGGGAGAGAGCTTGTAGGGTCACCTGAAGATGCCTTTACACTGCCCAACTCTAGCCCTCAACACCAAGCCAAAGAGGGCAAAAAGTACAGGCTATACTACAGGCCATTGGACAATTTCTCCCAAACTCCCTTACATCACCTTCTCTACCTCAATCTTTGGTGTTCCTTCTTCTTTTCTCTTTTAGTCTTCATTCGTTGCTGCCTCTCTTTCCTATCTTGAATTCTTCTACAGTTTTGTTACAATACAGGTTCTTCCAGCTATAAATATAAGCAAAGTTTAGTCAGCAATTTAATTCCACATTTGATGAGATCTCAAGTTCTACAGGATCAAAGCAAAGGTGCACTTCTCCTCCCACCCCAAGTGATAGACTGAAGGATCCAGTACCAATGCTCATCACAGCCAATAACTTAAATCATGCCCAAAACTGCTCTAGGTGCTTTACATGTGCTAGCTCACAAAAATCCTATGCAGTAGGTGCCATTATTACCTCCATTTTTAAGATAAGGAAATGAGACACAGAGAATTATCTTGTCCAAGGTCATGGTAAGTGATATATATTTGAACCCAAGTAGCCTGGCTCCAGAGTCCAACGTTAATTATGTCATACTGCTATTTGACAGCAGAATTGGGATAGTAGAGAGTACTAAGGGAGCTCTGGTAGCATAGTGGCTAAGTCACTTGCCTGCTAACCAGATGGCTGGCGGTTCAAACTCACCAGCCACTCCTCAGAAGGAAGGTTGGGCAATCCTACTTCTGTAGCGATACTGCCTCAGAAACCCAAGGAGGGGTCGCTATGAGTCGGGGCCGACTCGACGGCACGTGACAACAACAACTAAGAACTTGGTACCATTGCTTGATTGGGCTAAGTGGTTATCTCTACCCACTAAATGCATGAAGTGGCATCCAGGAAATAAAGGCTACTTTTGCCCCCAAGTATGGGTGCCTTTATTCTACCCAGTACAAATTGAATAAGGTAGCTCTTCCCTAGGAACAAGAGCCTGTGAGATTTGGGCTGACCAAGGCAAGCTACAACAACAAACCAAGCACTCCCCCTAGTGAGAAACACAAACTAACCAACCAAGCATTGCCATTCAGTGGGACCCGCCTCAAAGCGACCCCTCCGTGGGTTTCCGAGGCGGTATCATTACAGTAGATTGCCCAACCTCCCTTCTGAGGAGTGGCTGGTGGGTTTGAACTGCCAGCCTTCTGGTTAGCAGTCAAATGCCTTAGGTACTACGCCAACACAGCCACTGGCTAAATCCACTCCTAGGAAGGAAGGACTCTATGTAGCCCAGTATTTCTTAGAAGAGCTGAGTGAATTAGATCATTCTAGAGGCATACACTCCAGTGTCCATGTCCTCAGATCAGGGCTAAGAACATGAATATCTTCAGGGACTTTCAACTATTTCAACCGTACGAATACAACTGCTAAGACAATCAGTCGCTCAGAAAACCAAGGCTACGCTACTCTTCCTTTCTTTGTGTTTGTTCAATCTTCTCTCCCAGCCTATGAGTTGCAGAAGTAATGATGTTGGCGCTTTTTTCCCAACAGGTTGGAAAAAGAGCGAGAAGGACGTGCGCTAACTACGCCATCCCCAGGCTGACTACTGCGCAGTTCGAGTTGCGGACACATCGCGGCCATCTAGCTATAGAAACAAAACCTTGACACTTCAGTTCTTTGCATCGCTGGACCAAAACGTTCCTTTTGTAGGATTCTGTGCACACTGGTGGTTACAAGATGGGACGATCTTCAACACTTTTGCGCTGGGACGTTGCAAATGCTGGCTCCCACAAGCTGCTGCTCACTCCTTATTTCCTAACCGGACGGATGCTCCTTTGAAAGTTACCAAGTTGTTTCACTAGATAAACGCTGGATTGAGAAATGCTTGTTGAGAAAATTAAAAAGAAAAAAATAAACGTGTTCGGTCCCGCTGCCGCCAGAGTAATAAACAGTGATCTATTTGGAAAATATGTGTCGGTGTGGCCACAACGGTCCCCCGGAGGTAACAGCCGTAGAAGGGGCTCAAGGAGCATTCCGCGGATGTCAGACCAGGCTCATGTCTTGCCTGCCGGGCCTCTCGTGCCGGGCCGGAGGTCGCCTCCTCCGCTCCCTCCTCACGGTAGCGCACGGGCCGCCGCTCCCGGCCCGGGCCGCCGGCCCAGCTGTCGCTGAGGGCGCCGCTGTCCGGGAGCTTTATTCGTTGTCACAAGCCGTGGTAGCTACCTCACGGGCGGCCGCCCCGCGCGGTGACTGCGCCGGCGAATGAGGCGAGCGCGCTAACGGGGGCCACGTCACGCGGACTGCGACACACGGGGACTGCAGCGTCGGGGACGAGGGTGACGGTGACCGTTGGCAAATCGGGACCGCTAACGGCCGCGCGCTAACGGCCGCGCGCCAACAGCCTCGCGCCACCATTTCCCAACCCTTTTCTCTCGCCCTGCCCCGCCCCCAGCCCTGCGTCCCGCCCAGTCTTCGTCCGGGAGCGTGCCCGCCTCTGAGCTCTGGCTTGTTGCAGGGATCGGGCTGGGGGATGACGAACCCGTAGGCGGGGCGGAAGACCGTCGCGCCGTGGTGACGTAGTACCGCCGGCGCGGGCGGATGACACAACAGGACCCATTGTCTGTGTGGGGTGAGGGGCCCCGGGGGCAGTAGGGGCTCCCGGCGGGGGCGGTGGTGGGTGGGGAGGGCCTGGACATGGCGCTGAGGGGTCGCGCCGCGGGAAGATGAATAAGGGCTGGCTGGAGCTGGAGAGCGACCCAGGTGAGGAGAGGCTTGGGCGAGCCGGGGGCTGGGGAGGCCACGGGTAGGCCCGTGGGCAGGTGCTTGCCCGCGGGAACGCCCCTGTCTGATCCCCCTTCTCTTGTCGCCCCCACTCAGGCCTCTTCACCCTTCTGGTGGAAGATTTCGGTGAGTAGGAGACTTCCCTGCCGGACTGGAGCTGTGGGCGCCCACCCCTGCGCCTTCCTTGCTCCAGGGCCAGAGGCCACCCTGTCCGAACACTTTCCTTTCCTGTTCGCAGGTGTCAAAGGGGTGCAGGTAGAGGAGATTTATGACCTTCAGAGCAAATGCCAGGGGTGAGTGACTTGGCACCAGGGCCTCTGCTCACAGCCAACTGGGGCTGGGGGAGAGTGCCCCTCAAGGGAGGCAGTATCGGGAACCCTAAGTTATAAAATCTCATTAAGGTAGCATCCCTTCTGTCTGGGTACTCTCTTTCTGATCAAGATGATATTGTTATTTTTCTCCCAGTATTCCCTCAGTACTTCCCGTTATGTGCCCCCCTCATCCAAATCCTGATCATCCTTTAGGGGTACAGATCAGATGCCTTTCCTGGTCTTGCAGCAGGAAGCTCCTTTTCTCCCCCACGTAGTGCCTTTTTTGCAGCTGTAATTACTTACTTAATTGCAGCTTTAATGTGCCCATTTGTGTTTGTGATTTTAATTCCCACACAGAGTCCTGGTTGGCCTGTGGCATTTGCCAAGGCAGCTTCTGGATAGACTTCCAAAGGGTCTTGTCCTGGTGGTCCCACAGAATACAGGTGTGGGGAGACTGCTACGATGACAGACCAAGAAGTCTGCTTTTTGTTTCCTGGGATAGAAGGGGATGGCTTATGTGTACATTTGTTTTTCTGGTTCCATTGAGGCCCAGCCCTTGCGGTCCATGAGTGAGAATTAGTGTTTAAACTCCTCATTAGACAAAAGTTTTTGTTCTCACCTTACCTTGTGTTCCTACCAGTCTGGTCTTAGGCTGTTGATTCCAGCTTTACTTCTGTTATCCAGCAATCATAGGCCCTAGGTGTAAGGAGCCTGGGTGGACTCCTAGAGCATCACAACCAGATGTTGATGCTTGACTCTACCTGTGGTAGACCTCTTGGATGTGAGCACTCAGGACCACTTGGGGCCTAGTGTGGGGAGAGAGGCAGGATCCTGGCAAGGACACCCGAGTGGTAACACGATGCAAGGGAACAGGAGGAAAAAGAAAGAGGTGATTGCCTTCTGCCAACAAGGCTGATCTGGCTCTGCCCCTTACTTTCTCCAGCCCCGTATATGGGTTCATCTTCTTGTTCAAATGGATCGAAGAGCGCCGGTCCCGTCGCAAGGTCTCTACTTTGGTGGATGATACGTCCGTGATTGATGATGAAATTGTGAATAACATGTTCTTTGCTCATCAGGTCTGCTGGGCTCTGTGCTGTCTGGAGGGTGGGATGCTGCCGTTTTCTTTGCTTGAAAAGTGGAAATGAGGGAAGGCAGGAGAAAAAGATAGGCAGATACCAATGGTGTTGGTTACAGAAACCTCTTGGCAGAAGATACTGAGCTCATATTCACTTGCTTGGGAGCACCATTAGGCAGGTTGGTGTCAGTCATTCTCCACTCTTTGTGTCCCCAGATACCTGGTGAGTATTTAGTTGGTGCTTCTTGAATAAATAAATGTTGAGCCAAGATGAGAATAGCTTATGAGAGTGTTGTCCAGATTTGACTATTTCTGTCTTGAGTCCTCATTCCCAATGAGTATGGGCTTGAGAGAACTTGGAGTGAGGGGTGCTGCATATGGGTGACTCTTCTTGGTTTCACAGCTGATCCCCAACTCTTGTGCTACTCATGCCCTGCTGAGTGTACTCCTGAACTGCAGCAATGTGGACCTGGGGCCCACCTTGAGTCGCATGAAGGATTTCACCAAAGGCTTCAGCCCTGAGGTAGGCTGTGGCACCTTACTCCAAACTCATAGCCACTAGTGGTTTTTTTCCTTTATAAATGATCATTTGCATTACATTTGTGCAAGGCAATTGGTTTTAAACCAGAGAAAAAAATAGACCTAGAAAGGGAAGGGACTTTTCCTGGGTGACACCATGTTAGGGCCTTCAGTTTCAGGAGTTTTCCTATTAGGCTGTGTTGCTTCTGGTGTCTACTGGCACAAGGCCAGTACAGCCCATCTCTTTGGGGCTCCAGAGCTCTCTTCTGCCCTCCCCTAGTCCATTAGGAGTGTTAATCTGTACTTCAGATTCCTGAAATGCCTCCAGGCCCGCTCTCTGGAATTATCCTCCCACCCAGAAACCCATCTGAGAAGTTTTCTGACATGGCTTTATTTTCTTCACTTTAGAGCAAAGGATATGCAATTGGCAATGCCCCGGAGTTGGCCAAGGCACATAATAGCCATGCCAGGTGTGTAGGAGATGTGGCAGCTAATGGTGGTGGTGGTGGTGGGGTGCCACTTTTTTTGGTCCTGACTGTCTTTTCCTAGGCCTGAGCCACGCCACCTGCCCGAGAAGCAGAATGGCCTTAGTGCAGTACGGACCATGGAGGCATTCCATTTTGTCAGCTATGTGCCTATCACAGGCCGTCTCTTTGAGCTGGATGGGCTAAAGGTCTACCCCATTGACCATGGTAGGCACCCTATACTGGGGACCCACTGGATTTCCTGTGCTTCCTTCTTGGGGAACTGGGGCTCAGAGTCCTCAGGTACTTTAGGAGCTTGTGGCAGAGGGTAGATGCTGAGGACATTTGGCTCTGGCCAGGATGTCACCCTGCACTGTCTGCCCAGCCCCTGATTTCTTGGCTCAACTGCTCTTCTCCATCCTCCTTCCCATGCCTGGCCTTCCTAACTCAGGATTTCCCACCTACTAACTTCTTGGTTTTCCCCAGGGCCCTGGGGGGAGGATGAGGAGTGGACAGATAAGGCCCGGCGGGTCATCATGGAGCGGATCGGCCTCGCCACTGCAGGGTAAGAACTTGTGACTGTCCCTTTCTACCCTCTGGAGCTGTGCCCCTTTGAGAGGGATAGAGAAATGGGAACCATGGCAGAGGGAGGTCAGGTGATTTGTGTAAGGCCATATAGTGAATCTGGCAAGATTAAGTCTAGGTCTTGTGCTCCCAACTCCTTGCCCCATATTTGTTTTGGGCTGCCTGTGGCCTTCTCCAGGATGGGCCAGAGGAGGGCCAGGCCTTGTTGGGATGTTGGGGTAGCCCAGGTGTGTTCACTCATTTCCTGACAGTCCCCTCACATAGCTCATTGGAAGGTACCAGCTAAGGTGCCTGGCATGCATGGCTAGCTACTCCGACCCCTTGGGGTGGGGCCTGTACTTATGGCCACAGGTATGGTTGTAGGGAGCCCTACCAGGATATCTGCCTCAACCTTCTGATGGTGGGGCCCAGGGTGGGAGCTGCTCTCATGGCTGTGGCTGTGACTGCAGGGAGCCATACCACGACATCCGCTTCAACCTGATGGCGGTGGTGCCCGACCGCAGGATCAAGTATGAGGCCAGGTTGCACATGCTGAAGGTGAACCGTCAGACAGTGCTGGAGGCCTTGCAGCAGGTGGGTTCCACTCCTGTCTGGCCTCTGCCCAGCCTGGCTTGGCCCACTCCCCACTCCCACTGTGGCATCTGTTCCTGATTCCCAAGTCATTCTTGTGGATCCAAGTACTGATGAACTACTCTTCTCCCTTTGTGGGAAAGGTGGGACTTGGTGGGGAGGTGTATGTGCAGGAGAATAACTACTAAAAGGAGTTTTGAGTCTGGCTGTTTTATTTCCCTGTAATTGAGTGAGGGGGTAGAGCCAAAGCCATATTGCTGCCCCTGGAGGGCTCTTAACCATGCAAGGAAGAGGCCTGGGTCTGCCCTCACTCCTGTGCCATGGATTCTGTTTTCAGCTAATTAGGGTAACGCAGCCAGAGCTGATTCAGACCCATAAGTCTCAAGAGTCTCAGCTCCCTGAGGAGTCCAAGCCAGCTAGCAGCAAGTCCCCCCCAGTACTGGAAGCAAGCAGGGCACCAGTGGCCTCCGAGGGCACCCACACAGGTACTGGGGGTCTTGGGGCCTCTCTTTCATGGGCCTCTAAGCCACCCTCTTATAGACTGATCTGGGAGGCCACGCTGAGCAAGTCTTTCTGTGGATGTCCTTGGGCAGTGGTGCAGAGGGTCCTGTGGGAGGTTGGAAGCCGGGTTCCTTTAGCTGTGTACCCTTGGAAGGTGGGAGGCCAGCAGTTTCCTCCTAAAGGAAGGCTCCTATAAAGGGTTGCTGTCACCACAGGCCCTGGGCCTTTCTATAAGGCATACTCCCTTTCTTGCTGTCTCAAGAGGCCTTTTTCTTTCTGCCTTTTTTTTTCCCCCTATCTCATCTCCTCCCTGCTGAGGAGGGAGGGGGAGCAGTGCTGTGTCCCAGGATTGGGGAGATGGGCTGGAGACAGCTTCTTCAAGGATCTCCCTGAAGGTCCTGCCTGTGCTTGTTGCCCTGTCCCAGATGGTGCGGAGGAGGGGGCTAGTTCATGTCCACCTGCCCCGACCCACAGCCCTCCCAGCAAACCCAAGCTGGTGGTGAAGCCTCCAGGGAGCAGCCTCAATGGGGTTCCTCCCAACCCTACGCCCATTGTCCAGCGGCTGCCGGCCTTTTTGGACAATCACAACTATGCCAAGTCCCCCATGCAGGTAAGCTGGGAGCACTCCTGTAGGATTTCTTCCAGGCATTTCTTAAGAGGCTGTAACAGGCAATTTCCCCAAGTGATTCCTTGGTGTCTGCCTGCTGCCTGGGCCTGGGTTGCTGGGCTTCTCTGTCTTAGAGTCCCCCATAACAGCATTTGGGGAGGCAGAGAGAGCTTCTCTGACTTTAAATGTGGTGGTCAACGTTTAGGTACAGCTATATGGATTAGGTTCTGTTGGCAATACAAAGGCACGTTTTAGAGCACTCTGTTTCAGAAGACCTGTGTAGACAGGCGGTGTGGTTGGAGGCAGCCTTCCAAGACCTCTCTCAGGGGTGGGTGCTGGAGCACTATGAGGCGTTCAGCAGATGGCTTGGAGAGCCAAGTTACCTTACTCTCTGTAAGTGCTGGGCCTGACCTGACTACCCTGGGTCTCTCTGCCCCAGGAAGAAGAAGACCTGGCAGCAGGTGTGGGCCGCAGCCGAGTCCTAGTCCGCCCACCCCAGCAGTACTCAGATGATGAGGACGACTATGAAGATGATGAAGAGGATGACATGCAGAACTCTGCCATCAGGTCAGCCCCAGCTCTGTAAGCCTGTCAGGCTCTGGGTGCCATAGAGCCTGTCCCAAATACTCCAGCCTGTGTCTGAGAATGCCCTTTCACAGATAATGCTTAGCATTTGCTGAGTGCAGGGCCCTGGGGAGGCTGGCATGAAGGGGCTGACCCAGGCCCCCAAGGAATTGTTGGTGGGCTTGGGGGAGGGCTGGGCATGTTAACACCAAGACATGTTCTGTTGGGCCTTGAAGGATTGGATGAGGCAGGGGTGGAAAAGATGTTGCGGGAGACACAGCATTGGCAAAAGACCTGAAATGAGGTGGCTGGAACAGAAGAGTTGTTCCTAGAGGACACATGGCTGTCAGAGGAGACTCTTCTTGTTATTGTTGTTGTTTGCCATCAAGTCGGCCCCGACTCATAGCAACCCCTCCTTGGGTTTCCGAGGCAGTATCACTACGGAAGTAGATTGCCCAGCCTTCCTTCTGAGGAGTGGTTAGCAGTCAGTTGCCTTAGGCACTACGCTAACACGGCTCCTGGAGGAGACTCTTAGATATTGGCTATTAGAGCTTAGGCTGCCAGGCTGGGCGTGGCTGGGTCAAACTGCTTGGACCCAGTGTGAGGAGCTTCCTGGGTCAATCCCTGGAGGCCAGGAGGTGATGAGGCCATTCTGGGCACTGCTGAATGTGGTCACCTGGCCTGACTCTCAGCTCACTTCCCCTTGGGCCCCATAGATACAAGCGGAAGGGGCCGGGGAAGCCAGGGCCCTTGAGTGGCACCGCAGATGGGCAGCTGTCAGTGCTGCAGCCCAACACCATCAACGTCCTGGCTGAGAAGCTGAAAGAGTCCCAGAAAGACCTCTCGATCCCTCTGTCCATCAAGACTAGCAGTGGGGCCGGGAGTCCAGCTGTAGCAGTGCCCGTGCACTCGCAGCCCTCACCCACTCCCAGCAATGAGAGCACGGACACAGCCTCTGAGATTGGCAGTGCTTTCAACTCGCCACTGCGCTCGCCCATCCGCTCAGCTAACCCAACGCGGCCTTCCAGCCCTGTCACCTCCCACATCTCCAAGGTGCTTTTTGGTGAGGATGACAGCCTCCTGCGTGTTGACTGCATACGCTACAACCGTGCTGTACGTGACCTGGGTCCTGTCATCAGCACAGGACTGCTGCATCTGGCTGAGGATGGTGTGCTGAGTCCCCTGGCACTGACAGGTGGGCCTTTGGCTGGCTCACTGGCCACTTGGCGTACCTAACGGGGAGGAGGGAGGTGGCTGGGTGACCACCAAGTGTCATGTCCTGCCCTCATGGGTCTTCTCATGCCTTTTCTCCCAAGAAGGTGGGAAGGGCTCCTCACCCTCCATCAGACCGAGCCAAAGCAATCAGGGGTCCAGCAGCCCAGAGGAGAAGGAGGTGGTGGAAGCAACAGAAAGCAGAGAGAAGACTGGGCTGGTCAGGCCCGGTGAGCCCTTAAGCGGGGAGAAGTACTCACCCAAGGTGAACTTCCATGACATTCTCTTGGAGCTTCCAGTCCTGACAGGGAAAGCCTAGGGCACTGTTGCCCAGGTGCTAGGTTCTGGATTGGAATTTTGGGGTGAGGGTTGGCTGGATCCAGGTACCTGGAGTCACAAGGGCCTTTGTAGACCCTGTGGACTCGAGTTGGTCATCCTTGCCTACCTTGGCACTGACCAGCACCCCCTCATGGGTGCAATGCTGGGTTTTGTCAGGAGCTGCTGGCACTGCTGAAGTGTGTGGAGGCTGAGATTGCAAACTATGAGGCCTGCCTCAAGGAGGAAGTGGAGAAGAGGAAAAAGTTCAAGGTGGGTTATTTGACTGTTGTCCCAGAGGTGCTACTTCCTGAGTTAGCTGGCAGCTGCTCTAAGGAGATGGGCTGTGGTCTCTCTTCCCCTCTCCTGCAGATTGATGATCAGAGAAGGACCCACAACTATGATGAGTTTATCTGCACCTTCATCTCCATGCTGGCTCAGGAAGGTGAGAGGACTCAACTGCTGCGTCATCTTATCTGGCGTATCCCTCAGGTCCCCCCCACCCCCTGCCTTGGGGGCAGGGAGGGTTGTGAGAGCCCCAGCTCCTGGATTGAGGCTGTGGCTGATAATGTGGGTGGCTGCTGGCAGTCCAGTCACCTGCTCAAGGATCTCTGCCTCTCTGCAGGCATGCTGGCCAACCTGGTGGAGCAGAACATCTCGGTGCGGCGGCGCCAAGGGGTCAGCATTGGCCGGCTCCACAAGCAGCGGAAGCCTGACCGGCGGAAACGCTCACGCCCCTACAAGGCTAAGCGCCAGTGAGGACTGCTTGCCCTGACTGCAGCCTGCTCTTGCCGTGTGGCCCTCACCAGGGTCCCTTCCCTGACCCACTCCCCCTCTCCCAGTATTACTACATAGTTCCAGCCAGAGCACCCAGGCCCTGGGAATGGGAGCCAGGCCGGGATTCTCCGCATCGTGCCCCAAGTCCTGGTGGGCAGGGCAGCCCCATAGTGCTCAGGAAGTAGCAGCTGGCACTACCTCCACAGCCGGCTGTGGAGTGGCAGGACCTGGCCCTCCTGCCTTGGGCAGCAGAATATATATTTTATCTATCAGAGACGTCTATTTTTCTGGGCTCCAACCCATCTTGCCACCACTGTGTTGACATAGCCGGCTTCCCAACTGTACTCTCTCCTTGTAACTGTCATCCTGGTGGGCCCTTGTCCCTGTATCACACAGTGTCTCAGCTAGAGGTATAGGTAGACAGTGGGCCCTGTTGCTCTAGCCTCAGCTGCCATCCTGTCCTCTTCATTCCTCCTGGGAGAGCTCTGCACTCAGGGACCCCCAGCTGCTGGGCTGGATTGGGGGTGGGTGTCCCAGTGAGGGTGGAATGAGCAACCTCCCTGGGGTCCCATGACCTGATCAGAGAGAAGTGTTTGAGCCGATGAGTGGCCTGTAGATTACCCTCAGGGCTCTAGCCAGGCATGTCAAGACTGCTTTCCACGGCAAGACTCTGGGGCTATTTGCCTTCAGTGTTGTGGGCTTGCATTGGGTTCCACGTCTCCCTGGAGCCTGATGGCTCAGAGGAGCCTCTGCCCAGCCTCTCAGTATTATCATGTCTCCCTCCAATAGGGGTATGGATAACAGAGACAGGGCTGCTTGCAGGGAGATGGCCCACTCAGCTCTCCCTGTCATGCCAGCTTCCTCAGCCTCTGCAAGGCACTCAGGGTAAGGGACAGCAGGACTGAGACAGCCAGTTGGAACTCTTGTCCCCAGAGGGCCTGATGCCAAGGGATAATGAGCCTAGCACTGCCTCTGGAGCTCAGGCTCCAAAAAGCCTCATGGCCTCTTCTAGTGACCCCAGTAGAAGAAGGTGACCTCAAGTAGGCCATTTATCTGTACATAGTAACTGGGTGGTGGGGTGGTGGGGTGGGTGGGTGGTAGCTGGCAGGAAGGCAGGTGCCTCACCCTGAGCATAGCCTGACCCCTCTTGCCCCTGTAAATATCAGTGAATGAATAAAACTGAAGAAACGAGCCCTCCTGTGGTTGCTGGCCTGAGGTTTGTAGGCTAGGCTGCTATGGGGGCAAAGGACCTGGGCCCAAGCCCCTGTGACTAGAATGGTGAGGGGCATGCTTTCTTAGGGTATATGGCCCTCCTGCCCTGGGGCACAGTCTTTGGGATAGAATATTCTGAGAGGGCAGGTGCCTGTGCCATTTACCAGGTCAGGTGGCTTTGCAACCTGGAGAGGTGCTGGGGCTTGGTCTGGAGTCTAACCCTGTCTGGAGCGTCTCACTGGATGGGTGCTGGGACCTTGGAGGGCTCATGTCTCCTGTTGTTGCATTTGGGTGGGTACAGCAGGCCAAAGCTGTCATCTCTGCCACTCTACCTCCTGCTAACTACATTCTCTACTGGTGACCCTCACCACTGCCCTGCTTCCTTGGCAATGAGTCCTGCAGAGGAGGCCTAAGCAAGCAGCTAAGGCTCAGCTGAACTACTTTGAAAACAACTTTAATGCTAGCCCTCCCCCACCCCCTGGTCCTTCTGTCCAAATCTAGTAGTCCAGGGCACAGATGAGAGCTACGCCACGCTTTATCCAGTGTCGCTGGGATAGTTGGGTGGGGATCTCCACAGCAATGACATAGTTGGTGGAATGGCCTGTGGTTGATAGTGTACCTGAAGTAGATAAGAAGGGGGCATGTTAGGCCAGGGTCTGCCACAACTAGAACAGGGATGGGGTGTTAGGCCTGACAGACTGAGCTGGGGACAGGAAGGGGCCCTGACCCAAGAGGGAGCCTGCCTGACGAGTGGATCTGGCCTTGGCTTAGACCTGCCCTGGGTTATTTCACTGGGGACTGAAGAACTTGTGCCTTTGCTCATTTCATTTTCTGACAGATCCAGCCCAGGCCATCTCCTTTCTTGGCTTCAGTTACCCCTTCTGAATAATGGCAGTCTGGGGCTCATAGGTTCCCAAGACCCAAGGTGGGTGCTGCTGACAGAGGTAGGTGGAAAGTGAGCCCAAGAGGCACTCCCCACAGATGCTGAATCCAGCCCATGGACACTGCCTGTCTGCTGCTGGCTGGCACTATCCTGGCCCAAATGGTCTCAGGAGTGCTGGTATCAGCCTCTGCCTCCCTATCCAGCCAACCTGTGAAGCCTAACTAGTCTGTGTTGGACCAACCTTGGGTCTCCACCTGTGTTGTAGGTTCCCCACCCTGGGCCCCATACCAGCACGAGTCAGTGTCTTGTAGATGGGACACAGGTAGAAGTTCTGGTTCTGGGCTTTGCGGTTGGGCACTGGCAGGAGCCAGATAACGGCCATCTCTGTGTACAGCTCTTTGGGCCGAGACTCGGCCAGCTGGAAGGTCACTGGGTCCCAGCGGGCACCTTCCAGGAACAATCCATAGATGTAGCACCCCTCTTTAGGCCTCTGCTGGATTGCTGACAGTGGCTCGGCCATCACCTGTGGTGGGCACACAGATATCCCTCAATGCACACAGCTGGAATCTGGGTTAGCATTTGGGCAGGGGGCATGAACTCCCTGCTGAAAGCTGCTGCCTGCCTACCCGTCACTCACCTGTTATACTAGCCAGTGACCTGTAGTCTGCACCCTGCTCCTAAAGCCTTCTCTTGGGCTCATGACCTCTTTTGGCCTGGGTCTTCCTGGATCTTTCCCCCAGTTGCTTGGCCACCTCCCTCCCTTGTTGATGGGTCCCCCACCTCTGCCAGCCAGCTCTGACCTCTGTCCCTCCTGCCTGGGCCATACCCTAGGCTTGCCATGTGCCCTAGCCCTGCCTGGAACCAGACCTTGAAATCAAAGGAGATGGTATCAATGGAGATGACGGACTTGCGGGCAAAGTTCTGCAGGGTGCCTGTCAGGAAAGCCTGGGGGAAGAAGAAGCCACTGATCCAGAAGACAGCTGGGATGCCATCTTGGATCCAGTTCTCCAGGAAGTTCAGGCGCTGCAGTAGGTCCATGACCCATGAGGACAGTGGCTTGAGCGATGGGTAGGCCTTGGCTATCCAGAGCTCAGGTACAGCATTGTTATACAAGCTGGCAGCCATCAGCTCCAGCTGTGAGGACATCACCACCAGCCCCTTGAGTGCCTTGAGCAGGTCTCGCAGTGTCTGTGTAATCACTTGCAGCAGCCTGTTGTACCTATGGGGGCAGTGACCAGGAAACAGGCAGTGGTTTAGGGCTATTTGGCACTACCTACAATGGACAGAAAAACAGTGGCAGAACATAGAGGCTAACAGCATAGAGCTGGGTCAGGCAGCCTGTGTGAAAACCCCAGCTCCGGCCCATCATAAATGTATGATCTTGGGCAAGTCACTTACTTGTCTTTCAGGCCTCAGCTTACTTGTCTGTAAAACGGGAATAATAAGAATGGATGAGTGAGGTGAAGGATGTACAGCACCACGGTGCCTGGCCCATGGGAGCTTCTGCAGTCATTAAAGCTGCTGTTATGAGCTGCTTGAGTCTTAAGAGCACCAGGCTTAGACTCACCCAGTGAGGTCACATGGGACTGGGGGTACAGGGAGATTACCTAATGACCTCCTGTACTAGCACCGTGTTCATCGACTCTTCATATAGCACGGGGTACTTGGCCATCACCCACTTCAAGTTGATGGGTTCAGGCACCTTGAGCAGGATGTTCTGGGCTACGCCCTGCACTATCTGTGGGGGCAGAAGGATGCTAGGGGTCAGAGCTGGCCCTTCTTAACCCGTAGGACTCCACATGCACAGAGTTTCAGGGCTTGGCCCTGCCCAGCCCTTGGGCTCCTGCCTCACCCACCTCCTCCCGGCCCTGGCCGCCTGCAGAGGATGATTTAGGTTGCAGCTGGATGATGGAGCCCAGCAGGGCAAAAGTCTCATTCTGGGCAAAGGTGATGTTGGCATTGTCATGCAGGCCGAAGAGCTCAGGCATATCATTGAGTGGAAGGCTCTTGATGTAGGAGAGGTAGCCCTGGGAGTAGGAAGGCTGCAACTGAGCCCCTGCCTTGCTCTGCCCCCAGCCTGTGGAGCAGCCCTCCAATTGAGCCCATCCCCCATATCCCCCACTTGTCACCCTTGCTCTTAATACTTATGTATCTTCCTACTGTTCTTGGGACTCTAAGGCCTTACAGACTCTGTATGGTATAGCCTCTGTTTCCCTCCCAGCCCCCTTCTCATCTCCATCCCACTCCCTGCTTCTCCATTCAGCTGCTTAAACCCATCATGCTCTCTCCTGCCATGAGCCTTTGCACCTGGTGACCCATACTCCGGAATTGCCCAACCCAGCCCCAGCCTCTGCCCCCAACATCTCCCCACAAATCTTAGCTGAAGTATCATTTCCTTGGGAAGCTGGTCAGGTTACGGTCTTTGAGGAGCTGCTCTAACCCTCACTAAGGAATTATACCCTAGGTACGGTTGAGAGATAAGAGAATTCACCTCTTTCCATGGAGCCTGAGTGCCAAGAGACAGGGACTAAGTCAGTCTCCTTTGCTGTGGCTATCTTTTGTGGGATGGATTAGTCAATGAAAAGGTGCATGAAAAAGAGCAAGTGGAGGGCAAGGGCCATATCTTCTCCAGGAACCAAGCCTTACAACACCCCCCATTGCCCACCATGCATCTCTAGGGGTGGGCTTACATTGAGGTCATAGGTGGGTTGGATCTGGTGGTAGACGCCCGAGGCACTGTAGCTGTGCTCGGGGGACAGCACATCAGGATTGTAGAAGTCCTCCAGGATATTCATGACGCAGCGGCGGTCCCAGTCATCAGTGACCCGGCCCCCGTAGTTGATCTCCCCTGCTGTGTACTTAAGGACCTATAGGGTGGGGTGGATGAGGGCCCCTGCAGTGCCCCAGTCCCAGGGCCCCCTCTTGTCCCCGGCCCACCTTGTAGGGGATGTCAGCATACTCATCCAGGAACATCTTGAGCTGGCTGATGCAGATGCGCAGGTCTCCATCTGTAAACTCGTAGGGTATGTTGAAGCCCAGAGGCCCGAACTTACGGCGCTCCAGTGCATTCCCATGGAACAGACACAGCGACAGCAGGAGGGATTTGAACTCAATCACCTGTGGGAGGTAAGGACATAAGGAGGGAGGAACTACCAGGGGCCAGGTGAGAGGGCCATG